TGCTCAATGTTGCTGTAATTTGCAACCTACAGATGCTATAAAGGTTGGCTGATATTTTGCTTTTACTTCAAACAGATATGACTACAGTGAGACTGGTCAACTCTAACAGCAGCTGCTCTGGCAGAGTGGAGATCTTCCAGAACGGCAGTTGGGGGACGGTGTGTGACGACGTTTGGGATGTGAATGACGCTCAGGTGGTGTGTCAACAGCTGGGCTGTGGCAGGGCACTGTCAGCACCAGGAATTGCACGTTTTGGACAAGGAAGTGGACCAATCTGGCTGGATGACCTTCAGTGTTCAGGAACTGAGTCATCACTAAAAGACTGTACACACAGAGGATTAGGAACCCACAACTGTGGTCATTCTAAGGATGCTGGTGTCATCTGTGGAGGTAACTTTGTATATCTCCACATTTCTTTTTTTTTTTTTCTGAACAAATATAACTGGAGAATTTAGAAAATACATTAATTCAATTTCACAAATGATACAGTAATATAGTTACAATAAAGTGCTGTTGTAAATAGTCCTAAAAGCAGTGACAGGCCATGTATTTTATACTTGGGCCATCGGTGCTGTCCTACTACAGTTGAACCACCTCCTAATAACCTCACTAATACGCCTCATGACGGGATGCTTCGTCATTAATGCATATAGTCAAAACCAATGTAATTAAGAAAATGACGAGAACGAACTCAAGAACCAGTTGCATATACCTATATTATTTGACAACAAAGCAGGTAGAATAACATACAACTCAAATAACATGATTCAACAGGCCTCTGCACATTCTAGCAAAATTATGTTGCTAAAACACTCATTCCGTCCCACACTCAAGGACACGGACCATTCAAATATTATTCACATCAGCGGGAACAATATTAACCATTTCATAAAAACGATAACATTAAAAAAATGAAAACCGTAGTGACGCTACTGAAGGTATAAAAAAAGCAGTTCGCTTACCAAAGCTGCTGTTCACGTTTTAAAGACTAAGTCCATCCTCCTTTCTTTAAAGAGTTCAATGTCACGGCTTACACTTTATCCCTAATTTATATCCATTGTATGAAATATTGCATATCATAGAACCCCATATTTTCCAGATAATTTCTCATCTTTACCTCAGAAGAATCATGTGTGAAGTGAGAGTATGATGTGGAAGAGTTCATAAAAATAATAAAGAAGCTAAATGATTTAATCAAGTTCAGTTGCATTGAAGAGATGGGGCTTTTGCTCAATACTGCTGTTGCCATATGTTGACTGATATTTTACTTTCAATTCAACTAGATATGACCACAGTGAGACTGGTCAACTCTGACAGCAGCTGCTCTGGCAGAGTGGAGATCTTCCACAACGACAATTGGGGGACGGTATGTGATGACATTTGGGATGTGAATGCCGCTCAGGTGGTGTGTCAACAGCTGGGCTGTGGCAGGGCTCTGTCGGCACCAAAAAGGGCACATTTTGGACAAGGAAGTGGACCAATCTGGCTGGATGACCTTCAGTGTTTGGGAACTGAGTCATCACTAAAAGACTGTACACACAGAGGATTAGGAACCCACAACTGTGGTCATTCTGAGGATGCTGGTGCCATCTGTGAAGGTAACTTTGTACATCTACATATACCTTTTTTTTCTGCACAAATATAACTATATTTAGAAAAAACATTGTTCCTAATTTCATTCTATTTCACAAAACTGCAATAAAATGCACTGGAAATGGTCCTAAAACTCATCTTTGAGTTGATTATTTTGACTCATGGAAGTCAATGGGATTTTTGACTGGGTTTTTGGTAAGATGGCTAAATAAGGTCTGTGGATAACACGAGATTAAGAGATTTTAACATTTTGTTCTATGATGTAAAATGCATCAATAAATATCCCACTTGTGAAATTTGAAGCTTTTAAGTTTGTTAAAAAAGATGGTTGCTAACAAGTGCCTAAATGAGACTGTTGAACATCATGATGCTGAACTATAGTCTGCCTTTAAATCATAGATGCCGATTGCATCTATGATTACAATAATGATAAAGTGGTGTTCATTTGTGAAGATGATCTTTGGAAACCAAATGTGTTAGTACCATAAACTGGTTTAGCCAAAGATTTTATTTTTTTCAATAATCCAAAATCCCATTGGCTTTTTGTCGAGGGAAACACTGAGAGGCTAACTTCCGGGTTGGCCTACAAAAAAATGTCATCCCTGCAGCACTCTGTAGATATCTCCATCATCCTGAGTGTTAACCTGTGTATCAACTCCCAATGTACCCAGATTCATCCGAGCACAGTTTATACCTAGTTTTGTTTCATTTTATCCATACTTTCACACCTAATTTACATCCATTTCATAGAACACCACATATCCAGATAATTTATCGTTGCCTCACGAATCATGTGTGAAGGGAGACTATGATTGAAGAGATGGGGCTTTTGGTCATACTGCTGTTGCCATGTAGGTTGACAGTTATTTTGCTTTCACTTCAAACAGATATGAGTACAGTGAGACTGGTCAACTCTAACAGCAGCTGCTCTGGCAGAGTGGAGATCTTCCACAACGGCAACTGGGGGACGGTGTGTGATGACGTTTGGGATGTGAATGACGCTCAGGTGGTGTGTCAACAGCTGGGCTGTGGCAGGGCTCTGTCAGCACCAAGAAGGGCACATTTTGGACAAGGAAGTGGACCAATCTGGCTGGATGACCTTCAGTGTTCAGGAACTGAGTCAGCACTAACAGACTGTACACACAGAGGATTAGGAACCCACAACTGTGGTCATTCTAAGGATGCTGGTGTCATCTGTGAAGGTAACTTTGTACATCGACACTATTCCTTTTTTTTTTTTTTTTTCTCTTCTGAACAAATATAACTGGAGAATTTAGAAAAAACATGGTTATTAATTTCATTCAAAGTCGTAAATGATGCAGTAATATAGTTACAATAAAGTGCTGTTGGAAATAGTCCTAAAAGCAGTGGCAGGCCATGCATTTTATACTTGGGCCATCGGTGCTGTTGAACCACCTCCTAATAACCTCACTATTACGCCTCATGATGGGATGCTTCGTCATTAACGGGCAATGCA